AGACCAAGCATAATCAAGTGCAATTGATGAGAAGCAGATAGAAAGATCAATGCAAGAGAGAGACTGAGCGAGTCAAAATGGGTGGGAGCACCCGTATTTAAAACACAAAGAGGATGAGAAGTAAGAAGAGTCACCAACTGATCACAAGAGTCACAGTGGGACCCTCCCCAAAGATGATGGCGAGCGTTAAAATCACCTAACGACAAGATGGGCGGTGGCAGGGAAGAGACCAAGAATGCAGTATCCAAGATACAGAATGCATGGGAAGCGGGGGGAGGAGAGAGAGAGAGAGCAAACTGTGCCAAATGTGCAAATAAATATGGGCTGAAATATAATGCAGCAGAGAACGAACAAAGACCTGTTGATACGGCATACCAATGTGCACAAGAAGCGCACTCTCGTTAAATGATTATCAGGAAAGGGATCAGAAGAATGCAACAGAACATATCCTGAAACGGGACAAATAACAGCTGAACAAATTTTGAGCTCTTGTAACCTGACACATACTGGGGAAAACTGGAAGAGCAACACCTGGAGCTCTCCCCAATTACCCCCAAGGCCAAGAATATTCCATTGTAAATAAGTCATCATTCACAAAGACAGGTATGCCTACAATAAGAAGCGATAAAAATCTATGGGCTATTAGGGCCAGTGAAGTCAATGTGTGGCAGCAATGGAAAGCATGTAAGCAAGGAGGAATCAGAATGCTGTGAAGGAAAAGACTGCTGTGAGGGGTCATGAAAAATAAGAAGGGGGTAGGAGGCGCGCTGGTGTCCATCGAGGGTTTCGTCTCCGCAATAGAGTCAGAGATAGCGTCAAGTGTCTCAGCCGATAAGGAGGATGCTGATACCATGACTTCAGAGACAGGCAAGGTAGAGCAAGTAGAAAGCGAGAAGACTATGGAGGGAATCAAAGAGGTCGGGGGGGGGGGGGAGTATGAACCTGAAGAGATGCATCAGCGGGGGCAGAAGATTCTTGCAGTAGAACAGGAGAGGAAGGAGGCTGGAAGGTAACTGGGGAAGAAGTCTGGGAGGGAACAGAAGAGGGGATTACATGAGAGTTAGAAAGAGAGTGAGAACCAGGCACCAAGGCCAAAAAGGAAAACTGTCGGGGATTTGTGAGCACTGGAAGAATGCGAAGAGACTTGGGCTTATGAGACATGTTCAGCTTCGCAGGTGATAGGCACAAAAATGCAGGCGTGAGAGACCTCATAGACTGAAAAACTAGTGGGCAAGAAGTAGAGGTAAGAATAGGTAAGGAGGTGGGGGGTTTCAGAGGGTAAAACCGCAAATGAATTAAGAGATGGGGGTGACCCCGGAAGACACGACACTGGAGGAGCTGGTAGGCAGGGGGACCGCTAAGGTTGGAGGTCTCCTAGCTACTAGAGTACATATAGGGACACGAGGAAGATTCCCCTGAAGGCGGAGCTGAGAGGCAGCCATAGCGTAAGTAAGGTCTTCACTCTCCTTAAGACAAATTTCTTGTTCATTAAGACAGACCTGACATTGATGGGAAAAAAAAGACGGATGAGGTTCATTGCAATCGAGACAAGTTGGGGGAAGACTGCAAGATGTATTGGTATGATCTGCGGCACCTCAGACCGGGTACTCCACAGAAGATCTGCAGTACAGTGGACCCCCGCATAACGATTACCTCCGAATGCGACCAATTATGTAAGTGTATTTATGTAAGTGCGTTTGTACGTGTATGTTTGGGGGTCTGAAATGGACTAATCTACTTCACAATATTCCTTATGGGAACAAATTCGGTCAGTACTGGCACTCTCAGTAGTAGTAACCAGTTACCAGTAACCAGTGTACCAGTAGATGACTCACTACCAACCGTCTCTGCCTGAGTCACTGGCTGTATTCATATTGTTGCTGACCTAGCAGGATTTCAAGCGCCCCCTCACCCATGGGCACTCCTCAGTCAGTCTAGTCAAGGGGCAGAGAGAGGCAGGTTCGGCTGTGGCGCCCTTCCACATACTTCAGTTACAATATACGTACTTCCAGCCTACGTGAGTATTTTTACCCAATCCACGTGTTCGAACCCCACATGATAGCACCTGAACATACTTCTGGAGTGAAAAAATATCGTTAACCAGGGGTCCACTGTATTTAGCAGGGTGTCCAAAGTGCCAGCAATTTCAACACTGTTGGGAAGTAGGGACCACTTTATGGACTTCTAGGTGATGGCCCACGATATAAACAGAGGACAGGAGTTCACGGCAGTCAAAGGTTAAGAGGACAATGGTACTGGGAAAGAGCCTCTGCCTGCGAGCGGGCAAAACATATGTATCTACTTTGAGAACTGGAAGGTCCTGAAGGGCTAATTGCTCCAAAATAGCATCACTTTAAGACAGAAAAATCACTATGTACAATGGTACACAGTAAAACCACCGTACCACCTCAAGAATTAAGAGTAGCATGCTTGTGAACTGTGACTGGAATGTTATCAAAGGAATTAAGATGGGAAAGAGGATGAGCTCATTCTGGATTGTAATGATGCACACACCACTTCGAAGAGCGTGAAAGGATATATTTTGGCCAACATGGTGTAAAAGAGCTTTACCAATACCATAGTCAGAAAGATAATCAGTTGGAGATGTCAGTTGCAGAGAAAAGAATTTAGTCCACTGCGTACTTGTAAACATGGCGTGTAAAGGAAATGGGTGTTGCATAGGTCGTTTTTGGGCAGGCAGCCCGACCTGAGGTACGTGGGCGATCCGAAAACCACTGCACCATATTCAGGGAAGCTGGATGCATAGTTAAAGGGAGGCAAGAGGTACAGGCATTAACAGAAATGGGTGGAGCCCCAGCACCTGGAGCAGGTGACAAAGCGTCACCAACAGAAGGTACAGGGGTATGGGAAGTCTAGAGAATGGTCCACTAACGAAGCCGGGTCAGAACAGGATGCGGGAACAAAAAGGGGTCTGGGAGGAGGAGGGTTATCATGGAACAAAGACTCCATGATAGTGGTACTACTTATTATTTCAAAGAAACGAAAGGAAAAAAACAAATAAAACAAGAACAGCAGAGGAAGTCACCAGAAAGCATGAAAGGGCATAAGTTCCCCCCTCATCCAAGAGGACCTCGAGTCCGCAAGTAATGCAGATGCAGCGTGGAACCCGTGTCATACCCTACCCTTCATGCCAGTAAACCAGCACTCCAAGATAGCAACCTCACATCTACTGAGCCACCTCAGCGGACAAAAGAGAGGGCAGTCGGAAATCCACCACAAAGCATACTTCCTTCAGCTGTCACCTCCCAGAACCGACAGGCAGCCTCTGGAGATACACCTGTCATCTGCAGGACCACTTCCCGGAAATCCAGAAAGGGAGCAGGGCACCTCCAGACAATCCAGAATCCACAGCAAACTACACCACACCCGAGGAGCCTCACGGAGCGGGATGAACTCCAGCACAACTCCCCCACCTAGAAACCATTATGCCAGAGGGGTAGATCCCATAAGCTACAAACAGGATGGGGAAAAGGGGAGAGTTGGGAGGGGGGAGGAAAGGGAAAAAAAGGGGGGGATGGGGAGGCTGGGATAGGGAAGGGAGAATTGGAGGTAAATGTATTCGGTCTGAGGAAGAAGACCAAAAGGTCCAATTCCTCAGACCAATGGCCTCTTCACCACCAGGAGCCCCCCTTAAAGAGGCCGACAAGCTGAAGAATGAGACACTTGTCCAACATTTGGGAATCTTTATTGAGGAAACGTTTTGCCAGCTAGTATCTTCAGTCTAATACAGAGAAGAACGGTGGAAGATGAGGAGGAGTTTCAGGTAATCAATCCCTTAGTATTATACTTTTTTGTTTGTTGTGGTGGTCAAGATTTGTGAATAAAACATCAAACGGTTGGTCTGTGGGGTTATCCTAGATTAAATATTAGCCATTCATCACTACTCTGTGCTGATAATCGTCTAGAGTTAAATGTAAACACAGAAACTAACGTAAGCAATGTGTAAAAGATTTGTAAATTTGTAGAGTGTCGAGGCGTGGAGGTCAGAGGTGCACCATACTAACACTACCTCACAACACACCTGCCGCCTCACCTCTCATACTAAGACACACACCATCACCAGCAGCAGCACACACTCACCACCCTCACCTACCTGCCGCCGGTGTCAGCGGGTGTACAGCGTCAATAATGTACAATTTAGCAGTAAGAGTGGTCGGCGTCAGAGTGCACCACCACCATCACCGCCGCCACAACACTCACTACCTCCACTAACTTATTATTACAATTATACACTAAAATTATTCATTACTAGCATTTACCCTCATTAATGATAATTTTATCTTATTATTTTTCACTTGTATGATATCGCTGGCATCATTTTAATATGTATATATTTTGTTGTGAAAATTGAATCTCAAAGAGATCTTTAATGTAATATAATCTTGATATAAGTGTATTAACAAACATTATGTCAACACAGTATAGTCATCTTAATACAAGACTAGCTTTATTTTCATTTAATATGTCATTTATCTGTCAGCACTGCTCTATTAATCAAGTTATTGTTACCTTAGTAATAAATTAGGAAGATAAAGCTATGATAGCCCAATAAATTTAAATAATATATGGTAATAACAGAGCTGCTTTACTTTAGTCTTTATATTAAGTATCAAAATATTATTGATGTGTATGTTCAGGTGTATTACATTTATAACGATCCACATGCAGGTGAAGCTCATTAACTAACCAAGCCAATTTTAATAAATAAAAAACTCTCATTGAAACAGTATTAAATATTTAAAATTGTAATTCTCTAAGGAACGCTCACTAATCCTGTACAACGAAACCAACTATAGTCAAGGATCCCCCATGTAAATAAGTCAATTTATGACTTCTTTTTTTTTTTATCCTAGGTAATTTACACTATGTATGATAACTGCACTTATCTGCACCTGTGCCTGAATAAACTTGCTCACTTAGTTATGACTAAAATAAATTTATTGAACATAAAGGATCCTTCATATATTTATTGACACCCTGGGAGGGAGGGAGGAAGGAAGTGCCTCACTCACCTCACTTATCATCATTAATACAACACTTGTTTCTCCTCTTTTATCACTTACATAGTACAGTAATAACCTCTCAAGAGACCTTCCACACATCGTGTTCTAGGAAAAGTATGTACATTTTTATTTAGGTTAAATTTAGACATTTTACCCCAATGGAAATAAGTCACTGTGTCTGACTTTTTTGGGTTATCCCAGGTTCTCTACACATATGCTGCTATGTATGATAATTCTATGTAACTGTATTTGCGTATACCTGAATAAACTTACTTACTTACAGCCAGTATATTTTCAATAATTATATATGAAATGCTCAACATAACAAGGTGTTTTCTATATAGTAGTAAGTCACTGATGTCATCTAGGACTGTATACCTTGTATATGTACTTCTTGTAGTAAATATATTATTATTATTATTATTATTATTATTAAGTAAGTTTATTCAGGTGTACACAAATACAGTTACATAGATTATCATACATAGCAACATATACGTAGAGAACCTAGGATAACCCAAAAAAGTGTTAGACAAAGTGACTTATTTCCATTGGGGTCCTTTATTACAATCAAAACTAAGCGCTAAGCCCACAAGGGTCAATAATTATAATAATTAATTTCTCTGAGCCATACAGGGAGTATAATAGATATAGAATACAATTTTTATTTCTTTGTGCTGTACAAAGTAATGTAATAATAATAATCTTTATTTCTACAAGTAATTAAGAAGGCACTGGACAGGCACCTGAAGTCAGTACCTGACCAGCCGGGCTGTGGTTCATACGTCAGTTTGCGTGTGGCCAGCAGTAACAGCCTGATTGATCAGACCCTGATCCACCACAAGGCCTGGTCCCAGACTGAACCGTGGGGGTGTTCACCCCCAAAACCCTCTCCAGGTATTGGTCTTTTAATACCATGTACCAGATATACTTATGATACATATTACATTGTTTAAAGGTATAATACTTCTCAAAACCTGGAAATAAGTCACAGTGACTATTTTGGGTTATCCTGGATTAATAAAAAAATTGAAACATTGGTCATTTCCCATCATCATCACTCACTCTATCACTGTCTTGCCAGAGGCATGCTGATACTACAGTTCAAAAACTGCAACATATCTCCCCTTCAGGACCACTGGAAAACATATATTTACAAAAATATTAAAATTGTTTTACAGTGTAATACTCATCAAAATGTGGAAATAAATTACTGTACATTGTTTGACTAATGTATATTATGTTATCCTAGGTTAAATGTAAGTAGTATGCTTTTTGACAGAATTCCACTGTTAGTATCATGAAACTGTAATAAATTTGTAATGAATAAGGCATCTTGGCAGTTCCACAACCTGTTTTCTAGTTAGGAAGCTGATGGTGGAACAACAGATCCTGATTTCATTATTTACTTATGCTATATAGGAATTATTAACCATGAAAAATCTAAGACCTATTTGGTCTTACATCTTTTTCAAAGGCATGAAGAGGTTGTAGGAGACCCAAACAGTTGTGCTGAGTTCAAAAATATTGGCAGGCAAATGTGAAGCCACAAAAAATTATGCATAATAGTACATTGAGGACATAATCATAATTTTCATAGTACAGTGGACCCCCAAGCTTCGTGACCCTCGCGCTTCGTAAATTTCGACTTTCAGCAACTTTTTTCGTCAAAGTATAGCTTTGTGTTTCGTGATTTGCCTCACAGTTCGTCAGTGGTATGGAACTTCTTCAAGCGGCTTCCCAGCAGCCGCGCATACACAAAGGCTCCCACACACCATTCAGAGAGTCAGTGTGGCATTCTTTCTGGGCAAGTGACCATCACCCCACATTCATACGATACATTTCATAATAATCCATTCTTTTTGTGCTTGCCACTGCTAAATAAGCCACCATGGGCCCATAGAAAGCTTCTAGTGCCAGCCCTTTGTAAAGAAGGTGAGAAACACGATAGAATTAAAGAAAAAGTTTGAAGAAAAGTACGAAAGTGGTGGTGGTAGAGGGTGGCAGTGGTTGTGGTGGTGGCAGAGGGTGGTGGTGATGGTGGCAGAGGATGGTAGTGATGGTGGTAGAGGGTATAGCTGCAAGAGCTCTCTGGACAGTTTTTTGTGCGACAGAGGTCCAATGACTCCTCCATCCTCTCCCCTCCTCCTGTCTTCCATACAATAACAAGAATCTTCAATAAAGGTTGTTATTGTTTTATACTTGATTTCTCATTCTTTTCTGTGTGTAAATCTATATTTAATCTATAAAAAAATAATTTTTGTTAATACTTTTGGGTGTCTGGAACGGATTAATTGGATTTACATTATTTCTTGTGGGGAAAATGGCTGCGACATTCATGAATTCTGACTTTCGGCAGACTCTCTGGAACAGATTAATCACGAAACTCTGGGGTCCACTATACTGTACACTGGACACAGTTAATAGGTTAATAGTACATACTCTATAAAAAGTATACTGTACAGTACCTGATTATTATAGTGATAATAATGGTAAAATGAAAGGGGGTAAGGCAGCCGGGATTGATGGGATAAAGATAGAAATGTTAAAAGCAGGTGGGGATATAGTTTTGGAGTGGTTGGTGCAATTATTTAATAAATGTATGGAAGAGGGTAAGGTACCTAGGGATTGGCAGAGAGCATGCATAGTTCCTTTGTACAAAGGCAAAGGGGATAAAAGAGAGTGCAAAAATTATAGGGGGATGATGAGGAAAAAGAGTGAGTGGTGCACTTAGGAGTCTGTGGAGACAAAGAACTTTGTCCTTGGAGGCAAAGAGGGGAATGTATGAGAGTATAGTTTTACCAACGCTCTTATATGGGTGTGAAGCGTGGGTGATGAATGTTGCAGCGAGGAGAAGGCTGGAGGCAGTGGAGATGTCATGTCTGAGGGCAATGTGTGGTGTGAATATAATGCAGAGAATTCGTAGTTTGGAAGTTAGGAGGAGGTGCGGGATTACCAAAACTGTTGTCCAGGGGGTGGGGGAAGGGGGGTTTTTTTGAGGTGGTTCGGACATTAAGAAAGGAGCGAAACAAAATGACTTCAAAGTGTATCAGTCATGGAAGGGAAGGGGCGGGGTAGGGGTCGGCCTGGGAGGGTTTGGGAGGGAGGGGGTAAAGGGGTTTTGTGTGCGGGGGCTGGGACTTCCACGGGCATGCGGACGTGTTTTATAGGATTAATGGAGAAAAGGGTTTTTTTTAATCTTACTGCGTTGGAGGGTGACAAAGTAACTTTTTATAAAGGGGATTCGGGGAAACCGGCAGGCCGGATTTGAGCCCTGGAAGGGAATACAGTGCCTGCACTCTAAGGGAGGGGTGTTAATGTTGCAGTTTAAAAACTTAGTGTAAAGCCCCCTTTTGGCAAACAGTGAGAGTGAATGATGGTGAAATTTTTTTTTTTCGGGCCCCCCCTCCCTTGGTGGGAAGGGCCGGGTGTGATAATAAAAAAAAAAAAAAAGTCGTTGAGTGAAACTGGTAAGTGTAGGTAGAGTTAAAATTAAAAAATTAAAAGGTAAGACGGAAATAGAGCAGATGAACAAGGAGGGTTTTGGAAAGGTAGGGGGGGTGGGACCAGGTTTTCGTGAAACATATAAATGAACAGTATTTAGATAAAACTAAAAAAGGTCTTTGTGGATTTATGGATTTGAAAAGGGTATGCAGGGTGGATAGGGGGGGAAGGGCAATTTGCAAGTGTATGGGTAGGGGGTAGGTTACTGAAAGCATGAAAAGTTTTTACGAGGATATGAGGCTCAAGTTTGGTAGTAGGAAAGAGGGAAATTTTTTTTCCCCGTAAAATAGGGGCCTTAGACAAGGGTGGGATGTCCCGTGGTTTTTTAATATATTTTTGATGGGGTTTTAAAAGAATAAAGCGAGGGTCTTGGCAAGAGGCGTGGAGTTAAAAAAAAGAAAAAAAAAAAAAACACAAAGTGGGAGTTTTTCACAGCTGCTTTTTGCTGATGACACTGTGCTCTTGGGAGATTTGAAGAGAAGTTAGAGATTTGGGGATGAATTTGGTTTGGGGGGTCAAAAGAAGAAAATTAAAGGTGAAAAAAGGAAAAAGTAAAGGGTTTGAGGATAACAAAAAATTAGGGATGAAAAAATTTAATATCAATTGGAGGGAGAGAGTATGGGGAGGGGAAAGTAAATATTTGGGATGGACTGTCAGCGGAGGGTCTAGAAAAATGAGGGAATCATAGAAATTTTGAGGGAAAAAAAGTGAGTGGTGCACTTTTGGAGTCTGTGGAGACAAAGAACTTTGTCCTTGGAGGCAAAGAGGGGAATGTATGAGAGTATAGTTTTACCAACGCTCTTAATATGGGTGTGAAGCGTGGGTGATGAATGTTGCAGCGAGGAGAAGGCTGGAGGCAGTGGAGATGTCATGTCTGAGGGCAATGTGTGGTGTGAATATAATGCAGAGAATTCGTAGTTTGGAAGTTAGGAGGAGGTGCGGGATTACCAAAACTGTTGTCCAGAGGGCTGAGGAAGGGTTGTTGAGGTGGTTCGGACATGTAGAAGAATGGAGCGAAACAGAATGACTTCAAGAGTGTATCAGTCTGTAGTGGAAGGAAGGCGGGGTAGGGGTCGGCCTAGGAAGGGTTGGAGGGAGGGGGTAAAGGAGGTTTTGTGTGCGAGGGGCTTGGACTTCCAGCAGGCATGCGTGAGCGTGTTTGATAGGAGTGAATGGAGACAAATGGTTTTTAATACTTGACGTGCTGTTGGAGTGTGAGCAAAGTAACATTTATGAAGGGATTCGGGGGAAACCGGCAGGCCGGACTTGAGTCCTGGAGATGGGAAGTACAGTGCCTGCACTCTGGGGGAGGGTGTTAATGTTGCAGTTTAAAAACTGTAGTGTAAAGCACCCTTCTGGCAAGACAGTGATGGAGTGAATGATGGTGAAAGTTTTTCTTTTTCGGGCCACCCTGCCTTGGTGGGAATCGGCCGGTGTGATAATAAAAAATGATAATAAAAAAAATTATGAATATTTAATCAATGATAACTTGACAGAGCTAAATGGCATTGATTTATTTCAGGAGAAACCTACAGGCAGACACAAGTGCTTAGACCTGCTTTCGAGTGATAATATAGTTCTCACTCGAGTACCTGCAGTGTCTACAATGAAGACTAACTCAAATAATTCATTTAAAAACAAAAAGAAATGGCATTCAAATCAGCACAAGAATAAGCGGCTGAGGCCCCAGAACAGACAAAACAAGCTGCACATCAAGTTTGATCCAAATGACAGAAGGTTCCATGTTTGTTCTTTTTAATTGCTTATACAGATAATTTAAAAGAGAAGATATGTACAAAATAATATCAGTAATATAACCAATAACAACCACAATAATGCCATTGTAGACTTAGTTTCATTGGGATCTTTGTATTCACCAGTAGAGTATACACAATGTACAAAATAGACTACAGTACTAATGTAATTCAAACAAACCATAATTTATGTGTATGTAAATGTGATATTCATTGTGCTTTGACTAACTGACACCTTTTGGTCACCTGAATACTAAACATTTTTATATTTGTCTTCATACTATCATATTTCTTTAGTCAAATAATTCTCTACATGTTTTCTATATTCCCTAAGTGCTGTATTTTTATGAAGTATTGTTGTCTTTTTCAGAGAATATCTAACAGGATTTCAGAAAAGGAAGAAGGAAAGGCGTGAAAAGGCCCACAAACAGATTGAAAATGGAATTAAAAATGAAATGAAAAGGATAAGGAAAGATGTAAGTTACTTTTTCTAGTTTCATTAGTATATATGATGAAACTTTCAAACATTTTTACCTTTAGAAATACAGTGGACCCCCGGTTCGCGAAGCCATCGGTATCCGATAAATCCGGTATCCGAAGCATTATACAGTGGACCCCCACATACCGTTGGCCTTGCATAACGTTAAATCCGCATACCGCTACATTTTATCGCCAAGATTTTGCCTCTCATACCACTAAAAATCCTGCTCAGCGCTGTTCGTCCGAGACGTGTCTAATGTGCGCCCTTAGCCAGCCTCACATGTTCCGCCGGTGGCATTGTTTACCAGCCAGCCTCCGCGGTAACATCCAAGCATACAATCGGAACATTTCGTATTATTACAGTGTTTTTGGTGATTTTATCTGCAAAATAAGTGACCATGGGCCCCAAGAAAGCTTCTAGTGCCAACTCTACAGCAATAAGGGTGAGAATTACTATAGAGATGAAGAAAAAGATCATTGATAAGTATGAAAGTGGAGTGCGTGTCTCCAAGCTGGCCAGGTTGTATAATAAACCCCAATCAACCATCGCTACTATTGGTGGTACAGCTGCTGCTGCTGCTGCTGTACCACCGTCAGCTGCTGCTGCTGCTGTAGTACCGTCTGCTGCTGCTGTAGCATCGTCTGCTGCTGCTGTAGCACTGTCAGCTGCTGCTGCTGCTGTAGTACCGTCTGCTGCTGCTGTAGCATCGTCTGCTGCTGCTGTAGCATCGTCTGCTGCTGCTGTAGCATCGTCTGCTGCTCCTGTAGCATCGTCTGCTGCTGCTGTAGCACTGTCAGCTGCTGCTGCTGCTGTACCACCGTCAGCTGCTGCTGCTGCTGTAGCATCGTCTGCTGCTGCTGTAGCATCGTCTGCTGCTGCTGTAGCACTGTCAGCTGCTGCTGCTGCTGTAGCACTGTCAGCTGCTGCTGCTGCTGCTGTAGCACTGTCAGCTGCTGCTGCTGCTGTAGCACTGTCAGCAGCTGCTGCTGCTGCTGTAGCACTGTCAGCTGCTGCTGCTGCTGCTGTAGCACCGTTGTTGGTGTGGCTTATTGAGAATACCAAGAAACAATTAACCCCAGAGGATTTGCCACCCAGGATAACCCAAAAAAGTCAGTGTCATCGAAGACTGTCTAACTTATTTCCATTGGGGTCCTTAATCTTGTCTCCCAGGATGCAACCCACACCAGTCGACTAACACCCAGGTGAACAGGGAAAAATGCCTGGAACTAGTGCTCATATTGATGAATTTAAAGCCAGCAAAGGTTGGTTTGAGAGATTTAAGAATCATAGTGGCATACACAGTGTGATAAGGCCTGTTCTGGAAGAAAATGCCAAACAGGACCTACAGTACTCAGGAGGAAAAGGCACTCCCAGGACACAGTGTCTCATCAGTCATTGCTGCATCTTCAATAAAGGTAAGTGTCATTTATTCTTCATTTAGTAGAGTAGTACATGCACAATATATATTGTGCATGTACTACTCTACTATTGTGCATGTATCCTTCTCTTTGTGTGTGGGAAAATGTATATTTCATGTGGTAAAATTTTTTTTTTCATACTTTTGGGTGTCTTGCATGGATTAATTTGATTTCCATTATTTCTTATGGGAAAATTCATTCGCATAACGATAATTTCGCATAACAATGAGCTCTCTTGCACGGATTAATATCGCTATGCGGGGGTCCACTGTATTGCAAAAAATTTGCCTCGGTTCCCGTTACAAAACCTGGTATGCGATACGATTCGTACGAGACGTGTCCAGTGTTTACAAGCCAGCCAGTGTGCGCGCATCTAAGGATACATTCGGTACATTCTATATTATCCATATTATCACTGTTTTTGGTGCTTGTTTCTGCAAAATAAGTCACCATGGGCCCCAAGAAAGCTTCTAGTGCCAACCCATCGAGACCAAGGGTGCTAATGACTATTGAAATTAAGGAAATGTGTGCAAAGTGGCTTGAAGTGCAAACCTTTTTTGATGAAAATCACCCTGATACAGCTACTGCAAGCCGTGTTGGCAACCTGTACACTGACAATGTTGTGAACCACTTTAGGAAAGTCATAAAGGAACGAGAGGTACAGGCCTCTATGGACAGATATGTTGTGCGGCAGAAGTCCAGTGACTCTCAAGCTGGTCCTAGTGGCATTAAAAGAAGGGAAGTAATCCCGGAAAAGGACTTGCTACCTCAAGTCCTAATGGAGGGGGATTCCCCTTCTAAACATTAAAAACTTCAACACTCTCCCCTCCTCCCATCCCATCAATCATCACCAGATCTTCATTAAAGGTAAGTGTCAATTATTCTATTGTGATTATTCTATTGTTATTATTGTTATTGTAATTATTATATTGCATTAAACTTAATATATCATGTGGTAAAAGTTTTTTTATCATACTTTTGGGTGTCTTGCACGGATTAATTTGATTTCCATTATTTCTTATGGGGAATATTGATTCGCTTTCCGGTAATTTTGGTTTACGATGAGCTCTCAGGAACGGATTAATATCGTGAACCAGGGGTCCACTGTACTCATAAGTGTCAAGCTTTATGTCGAAAAGCAGTCACATAAAATCTATTTTTTCCTCAGTTGTATAATTATTATACATAGTATAATAATTATCTAATTATATAATAGTATAATAATAATTATATACATGTAATAGTATAATAATTATATAATAGTACAATAATTATATAATAGTATAATAATTATCTAATTTGCATTAAACTGCTAACACATTTATTGTATAAGATATTATTAACCACTAAAAGTTATTACCTGTTTATAACTTTTAGTGGTTAATAATATCTTATACAATAAATGTGTTAGCAGTTTAATGCAAATTAGATGTGTTTTGAAAATATCCCCTTATTCCATAAGCCAAGCCCTCTATACCACAATGTGTACACAAAAAAATAGTACATAGTACAGCATAAGTTTCTAATGAGAAGAAGCATCATAAGTACAGTATGATACTTCTTAAAGTTCCTATAGCTTATTTGCATCTTTATCTGTGTTCCAAGGAATATAGTTGAAAGGACTTCAAACTTTCCCAGTGGTTTAGATGAATGATTGAGTGTGTATGTGCAGTTAAAGTTTTCTTTACATTTTCCTTCCCTGCCTTGAAGGGGGTCATCAGTATACAGCAGTATTCTAGCTTGGAGAGAACACTTGACTCAGCATCTTTTGTCTTCAAAGTTCTAGTTATCCAGCATATCATTTATCTTGCAGTAGCAATGGCTATGTTGTTGTGGCCCTTGAATGTGAGATCATCCAACATCATTACTTATAAGTCACATACACAGGACTTTAGCTTTATTTTATGATTTCAGCGTGTCCTGTACTCATTAATCTTTATCTCCCCCATTCTTCTGTAGTGGAGTAATTGAAACTTGTCCTCATTAAAGATTTGATTTATATCCACCTGAAGATTCACTGTGTCTTTGATAGATGCACTCTCATAGTTTGTGGTGTCATCTGCAAAGGAAGTTACAGTGCTGTTACTATATCTTTGTCAATGTCAGATGTAAGAACGAGAAATAGAACTGGGGGCAGTTACTATGCCTTGTAAAACAGCTTTTCAGTTTGGCATCCTCCATCTACTATTCTCTGGGCCCTGTTTGCTAAATTAAATATCCATCTGCCCACTTTTCCAGTTATTCATTTTGTGTGCAATCACTCGATGGTTGCATTTGTCAAATGCTTTTGTAAAATCAGTTTACACCACATCAGCATTTAACCCTTTCAGGGTCGGTGTCGTACTAGTAGGGCTTGCATGCCAAGGTTGGTGCCGTACTAGCACGCATAAATTTTAGCACCTTCAGATCTAGCGAGAGAAAGTTCTTAGGCCTACATATGAAAGATTGGGTGTATGTGGTCAGCGTGCAAGGTATAAAAAAAAATCCTGCAGCACACAGTGCATAATGAGAAAAAAAAAAACTCCGACCGTGTTTTTGGTTTAAACCAGCAACTTTGCAGTGTATTTTCGTATGGTATTTATGGTTGTATTCTCATTTTCCTGGTCTCATTTTATAGAATGGAAGACGTATTACAGAAATGGAGATGATTTTGATTGGTTTTACAATGAAAAGTACCTTGAAATCTAGCTCAAAGTAGCAGAAATGTTTTGATTTTTGCCAATGTTCAAAAGTAAACAAATCATGTCATGCATCCAATACATGTCAACTGGTGAGTCTAATATCCTTTCACAAGTGTGCTGATATTATTTATACCATTTCTACACTAATGCAGTAGTCTGCATAACAGTAAATCTTCTATTTTTTGTGAGAATAAAAATTCAAAGTGGAAAGCAAAAGAAATGTAAGAGGGGCCTGGGGATGTGACTAATGAACAGAGAAAATGTTATTTTAGTGCCAGGAATGTCTTGTTTATTCTGGACCCTTTTTGGAAATTGGCATCTTTTGACATTTGTGTGAAATTGGTGAAATTGTAAATTTCTGACCACTTTATTGGATAGTTGAAATCAGTAAATGGGTGGTTTCTTGTACGTACTCATTTGATAGAACAAATGGAGTTCTAGCAAAATAGTTATGATTTTTGTCGACTGGCACATTGGAATTGGCCGAAAATAGGGCTCAAAAGTGGGCGAAATCGCCAATGTGTAAACATCGTTGAGATCGCTAACTTCGCGAGAGCGTAATTCTGTAAGTTTTCTATCAAATTTCATACTTTTGGTGTCATTATGATCGGGAAAAGATTTTCTATCATTTCATAAGAAAAAATCTTTTTTTTTTTTTTTTTTTTTTTGAAAATTTTTCAACCCTGAGAACAAGTTTAGGAGAGGGCCTCTCGACCCTCAAAGGGTTAACATGTCTTTCAGAGCATCCAGGACCACATTATTATGATCTAGCAGTTGTGAAAGGCAGGAGCAACCTGCCCTAATCCCATTTTGCCCTGGATTGTGCAACTGTTGTAATTCCATGTGATTGGCAGTATTGTTTCTTAGGACCCATTCAGAGATTTTTATAATGTCTG